AGGTTGACGCGTGTAACCTAAATGATAATGAAAATATAATAAGCGCTAGTGTAAGCGCTTTGGTGATTAGGTAAGTAAATAAAAGAAAAAGGAAAAGAATAATAAAAGAAAAGAATAATGAAAAAGATTGTTTCATGACACTTTCCTTGAAGGACCTGTTCTCCATGCATCAGTTGTTATGGACATTAATGCATTACATGAAGCAATTCGACAATTTCTTGTGACGTGCTACATAGGATACAGTACTTACTTTATTTTTCCTACATCTCCTCCTTCCCTCATTGTTGTTACTGTTTGGATCCATCTACATCGTTCCGCATCCTTCTATCACATTCCAAACACTTCCATCAACTTCCCATGCTGTCGCTTACTCATCGAGACTCTTGTATATGTAGTACAGTAGCTGACACCTAGTTCCCCATCTTGACCTCTTGGTCTTTGGAACTAGGTTAGTACTTGTATCATCATTTACATTCAATATACTTACTTGGTCTTTGGAACTAGTTTTCCTTGTGTGACCCTAGTGATTGGCCCTTGTGCTATCACTGTTGTCTTGATCATTACCTCTTTCCACCTTCATGTGTGGTGCTAGCCCCACCCCTCACCTTGGTTTGTGCTTTGAGCCTGTGCCTCCTCTGTGCTTTCTCCCTTCATCACCACATAATTGTTACTAATCGATCTGGAGCTTGCACTAGGTCTCACCCTTGCCCAAGACACTACCAAACCTCAATGGACTATGGGCAAAGATAAACTTGTCATATGTATGTGAATCGAGTTATTCTGCGATTCCACAATCCATTTACCTACTTCGTGAAGAGTTCCTAAGCTCAGGAATCCTTTGTTATCTTTCCTAATCATTATCGGATATACCTATTATATCCCTTCCTTTGTTCTTTACTCCACAAGCTAGTCTATTCGGAGTTAGTATTGCTTCACGACGCTTATGTAATGCATAGTATAAAGCTACAACATTGAATAGGTAGTTCTGTAGTTTTAATATTGACTTAGATCTGCACTCTCTTCATATTACAGATATTCACTATCTGTGATACATTCTGAACACAGCTCTGACATTCCATGAAGCAACCTTCGCGAACTGATGCTGCTATTACCTTTATATTGGACCATCAATGTGTTGAGGGCACTACCAATAGTAGTGTCAATGTCCAACTACCTTTCCATAACTCCGCAAATCGTTCCTCCCTTTGCGAGGGAATTATCCCCTCGCATTCCCAACAAATTCCGCGATTACATTGCAATCATTCCGCAATTGAATCACGATTATTCCGCGATTCCGGAGTTGCACGATCTTGACAAAACTACTATGCCTTGACAACCAAATCTACATTCCGAACCACTCAGATCTATGATTACAAGTCCTACAGTACTTCCATAATCACCCACTTTCTGGCCATTTCAGTCAAAACTGGACTCTAGAATCCATTCATCGGCAATATACCTGGCCAAAGGTTCGAGATTTCATACACAACTATGTTGCCTCCTGCACTACTTGCAGTAGGAACAAGTCACTATGGGCAGCATCAAACCCAGTTTTGATCCCTGCAGAATTAATGACATCAATGTTGAGGAGTGAAGTTAGGCGAGACACGATCGGCAAGGCCCGTCGGGGACATGTGGAGGACCGCCTCTTTGAAATACCATTCGTTTCAAGTCCAGTTTTGTGTTCAGCATCCGTCGATACGCTGTGCATCTTCACGGATCTTATCCCGACCGGACACCCTACTTAACATGGGTGTATGTAGGTAATTTCCCCTCAGTCGTTCACACATCTAAGTGTGATCCTGAGGGTACGTCTATATCATATAATACTACTGCTACAGATATCTGACTTGCTTACGTAGTGTCGATACTTACTGTAGTTCAACAGGTAGTTATCGAATTCATGGAGTCGTTCACACATCTAAGTGTGATCCTGAGGTGTCGATACTTACTGTAGTTCAACAATCAAAACCTTTTGAACCAGTAGCAATCAACACAGTATGATCATACATGGCAGGAATTTGAGCATGACATTTCACACAAGGGTGGACAGATCCATCATTGGACAATGAACACATCCGGATAAATTTCTCACTGCGAGGATTACTTAATGTATTTGGGCCATGAAAAAGACTGATGCGACCACTGGTAACACTATTAATGCTGATAGCGCTAAATCACACATTGGACAAGCAGGACACATTTGATGCATGTGTTTGGGCCATGGCAACAGTGGCGTTCTGGGGCATGATGAGATTTGGAGAGGTATCGGTCAAAGCACAGAGGGATTTTGATGGGGAGAAGCATCTGAAGAGGTGTGATGCTGTATTTGGTCACAATATGGATGGAATTGAATGTGACATCAGCGCAATTGAGGCACTGCACAACTTATCTAGGGTGGTACTAGCCGGGCCAGAGGACCCAATGTCCTCATGGAGAGATCGAAGAGGTTCTATATGCCCCATGGTCAAGGACAAAGTGCTGGGGCATATAAACAGTGTACTCAAAGCATGGGGATGGGGAACAACCTTTGGTCACTCCTTTCGTATCGGGGGAGCATCATATTACCTAGCGCAGAAGGTAAACCCCGGAATTGTCAGGATCGCCGGAAGGTGGAAATCACTGGCATATGAAACGTACATAAGGGCCTTTGAGAAAGTAGCATCGCGACACATGGGAGCAGCAACCAATTTCCCGAACCAACGGACAGTTGCTCAACCGCAGATGGTGGGGGTGCGCCTGGACCGCCGCAGGGTTTCGCAGTCATGGGTGAGCGGCGGAATCTTCTGCGATTTATCTGAGCTAACGCTCGGATTTCTTTTCGGTATTTGACTGGGCGGTGTCAGACGAGGCTGGAGAGGAAATTAATCGCTCATTGGTATTCATCAATGAACATGCTTTCTGCTCCAAGCGTAACCTGCGCACATTCCCAGGCAAGATATAGTTTCATTCCCATCAAAGATACTAGCACTATAAAGAGGCTCAATTCTGAACAGTAAAGATAGATTTCTCAGCGCCGGTTCTGGTACGTCTCCTTCATGCCTTTGAAAATGCTTAGCGATTGACTATTCTGTGATGATTTCCAATTTCAAAAGCCAACGACATACAAGAATATAGATTCGCTGGTCGAATCCAATATCTGTCATTGAAGTTAGAAGCTATTTGCTCGTGGAGTACACGTACGTGTTTGCTTTTTTTTTGCTGTCTGTAACGCCGGATTAGATTTTATCAAAATTAGCAGGTACTGAACCATTTGTTACATCCAAAAATCAGCATGCTCCTTCTACCGCACATCTTCTCGCTTCTTCTGGTGGATGCCCTCCTCAGCATTTCTGTCAGTGCCCGTCCATTGGTTACCCAAACTCATCATCAGCTCGGGGGCCGGGAAACTGATGGTGAGCTTCTGTAGTGCTTATATACCATCAATCTATGTGATTGACAGGGTTTTCAGAGGTCAAGCTCAAGCTAGCAGTCAGAAAGCCAGATGGCACCTTTCGAGTGTGGGGCAAATGGAGCAACAAGCCACTGAAAGCAGACGATGTGCTCGTCTTTTTCTTCCACGACATCGTCGGCTTCCAAGTAGACACGAGCTACGACGCCTTGGGACAACCCCAACTCACAGTTACAGATGTTGAGTGTCCACGTCGTGCAAGTAATCGCCTTGACACGAGGCTTTTCGGCAAATTGGGTATGCTGCCGGTATCAGCAAAAGAACTTCCCTCAGGCACTGAGCTTGTAGCCGCACCCAATAGCAAACTAGACAAGACATCTTTGGAAGAGAGGTTTGGTAATCCTCAGAAACTGCTTCAAGATGTTAAGGTGAAGTTGGTGTCTCGAGGTGAAGATAATTCTGTGCTAGACGAGGAGTTGATCGTTGAGGATGCAGTCGACTATTTCTCTCTGATAATGATCAGTCTACGATATGAAGATGGCAGAGGCCCAGATGGGCGAGTATTACCTGAACTGGGTAACACTCATCCGCGGTGGCCTATACTATATCGCGATATGAAGCAGTTGCAAGGGAAGAAGTCGAACGAGTATCTCATGGAGCTACTTCAGGGCACCCATTACCGTCCGTAGTGCTCATTCCTTAGTAGGCTTATATTGGGAAGTCAGACACATCTTATTTATCTTCCTGTCTGCGACTACAATTGTAATATCATCCACAACCACTATCCCATACAGATTCCCCTTACCTTCTCCTCAAGCCTCGTTTACCCTGTGGCTGAGAAAGAGAAACAGAGAGTGAGTGGCTGCAATGAAAACATTGACGGGTCAAGGGAAAACAGAGGAACATGAGAATGGAAGGGACGATGATGTTCCTAGTGTCCGCGGGCATGAGGCACTCGTGCATTTTTTCTTCTTTTCCATTACCTTCCAAATACGATGACCACAACCGTCTAGCGACGACAGCAATCAAAAAAGGGAGATTCTTTGCCGCCATAGATCCTCTAGAGCAAAATCCCTAAAACTTGAGAGAACCCCTTTGGAACCGTGCCTTTACTTGATCATTTCTAGCCATCTTTGAGCTGGTATCTTGTCCTAGGATCACATGCAAAACAAAGATGCTTCTCAAAGAATGAAAAGGAGAAAGAGATTGATAGCCCGGCGGGGGAGAGAAGGTATTACAATGGCCCTACATGTAAGAGCAGCAGTAAGGCGAGCGACACCGGATTTCACTGATATGTGCTCAAAGCTGGACGTAGTCTTTCGCTTTTCAATGAAGCCCCATTTCTTTGTGACTTTACACATACAGCCCCTGCATACAGCCTATACACTTCCATAAATCTTCCTTTTATCCCTCCTTGGTTTAATGTAAATAGTTTGGCGGATCCTGCGGCGGTGCCACATCAATCCACACCAGCTTCAACAGCGTTTGAAGGAGCTTACTTGGGACTATGTAGTTTAATCAGGTTTGTTCATTGAAGTCGGGAATATAACATCGCAATACATGAAAAAAATTAGACGACAAAAAGTAAAATCGCCCACCCACTTTTTCATACACCGTTCGGGAATCGAAACTGGGCCGCTGATCAAAGCCAAATATTGAAGGCAAGCAAGATAACCAATTTCACCAACGGTGTACATGTTAGGTAATATATTTATTCGGTCGGAACCATTAAATGTCGAAGAGTAAAATACAATCTCTTGTTACAATCGACGTCTACTCATTGGCATCTACGAGCAATCTACAACGCGTCTACAGCGACAATCCTGAATTCAGTTCCACCTCCGGGATCTTTTGTCTCCTTCATGATTTCGCAGTGCAGAACGTGTTCACCTGGAGTAGCATCTTCCGTGATGACATGTGAACTAGAGGAGAGAAATGTAAGCAATCAATATCGACGATACAAACTGGGAATAACGTACTTCGCTACGTGGCTGTATAATACAGGAAATCGAAACAATCAGTATCACGCAACGGGAGGGAATCTGACACGTTTACTCACATATCTTTATGCTCCCAATACCCATCCAGCCTCTTTCCCTTATTCCTCTCCTCATCAACCCAACACCATGCACTCCCCAATCCATAACTTTCGCTCCTCAAATATGTAACCCTAATCCTCCCCAGTGCGCTCGTCAAGACCTTAAATGCTAGTACAACACCTGGCTTTCGTCCGGTCAACCAAACCTTGCCCGGATTCTGCGGATGATGCCATAGTACAAACGCATCTGGACCGTCAGTTGACAACGGTGGAGGTAGAGCTTCAAGTTGATGTGCATAGGGCGAAGAAAAACCGGTGCTGGTGAGAGTAGTGGTTGTACGACAGAAAGGGGTTGCAGGACGAAGGACGGTGGTATGATCGAATTTTTGGAATAGGGATAAGCGAGGTATGTATTCGGAGATGTCTGGTCCTTTATTTGGGTTGGGAAGGCTTAAAGATCCACCTTCGAGGCGATCGTCTTCGTAAGGAGCCCAATCCCAACCCCCTACAACTTCCGAGCTCTTACCAGCTTGTTGGAGTTGTTCTTCGCGCCAACCTTCGCATGCAACTCGAGAAGTGAAGGATTTGAGGAGGTCGCCAAGCATGCGATGGCCGTTTTGACTGATGTGACGAAGGTCAATGCCGCTGGTATCGTGATGGAACCAATACCGCTCAAGGGAGTCGTCTGAAGTGTTGAGTTGTGTGGTTCGCAGGATGTGCGGAAGGAGAACGTTGCGAAGACTGGAAGACACCTACATTAAGCTTGCGATAAAAATGGATGTTAGTTTGCGTACCTAATGATTGGAGTATCGTAATATTGGGCTATAGCAGTGTGAAGATCACCGCCCATCGTTATGGTTGGGAACATGAGCGCCATTACCTACGCATTAATGTTGAGTGCCAATCATGAGTAGACGGAAAGTGAACGCACCTGAACGTTGATAATCGCGGGCTTATTGGGCAACGCAAAAATCGCACGTATAAGGTTCTCGTAACCCTTAGCCAGATACTCCAATCGCTGGTCATTTATCGCTAACTCGATTATCACTAGATCAACGTCTTCCGGAATATGTTCTCGAAAACACGTCTCCATATACTGGCTTATCGTCGCCCCAACTGCACCGTTGATGAGCTCAACCTCAATGTTAGCAGCGTCAGCCGACGTCGATTGAGCAAATGTTTCGCGGATGTATTCAGCATAGATGGAAGACCAGTTGAATTTATGAGCTCGTAATCCATGGCCCTTGGAGACGGAGCCACCAATGATACCAATTTTGATCTTCTGTCCAGATCGTACTTTGCGAATAACGCGTTTGAGCCTCGTATTCGGGCCTTCGTAGGCCCGTGAACGAGCAAGGTTGAAGGAGCTATTAACAAGGTCAGGCGGAATTAATCAATTGAAAACAGTCATACCCGTAACGCTTGCAGATTTCGTCGGTAGAGGTGCAGTAGTTGCAATATGCAGGCTCAACATTCTTCGTTGTCTCAACAGAGTTTGAAATAGGCGTTGAGGTCGCTGTCTGAGTTGGTCTCGCATTTATAGTTATCGTTGTAGTGATGGGAGCAGGTTCTTTATCATTAGAATTGCAGAAGGAAAGAGGGGATCCAAGCGAAAAGGTCGAATTTCCTTCGGCGTCAGAATAGATGAAGACAAAGAATGTTAGGTAGAGAATGATTGAGAGCACAGCGACGCCAACGATGAGAAAATAATATGCTGAGCGTGTGGAGGGACGCGGAGAAGGAATTCGACCCATGTCGCCAATCTCCTACTGTAATTGGATGAGAGATGGAAGGGATTCATTATATATTGCTATTCTGTGAGACCGAACCCCTGATTGACGGAGTATAGACAAGGGCGGGAAGAAAAGAAAGTTATTACGCCTTGTTTATGGAAAGCTTCAATGTCACGAGGACGCGAACTGCCTCCTCGTACTGTAACGATAATATCCTAGTATTGTGTTATATCCCTTTATATTTGCTATTTTTTTTTCTTGTCAGGAGACTCTGTATTCCGGTTTCTCAAGAACTCCGAACGGCAAAAACACACCGCATAGCACCGTATTTAGTTTCAGACAAGACATTTCAGGGACGGGACCTAGACCGTTTTTCTTTCTTATGCAATGTCACTCCATGCCGCGTCTGTAGACGTGAATTCAAAAGACATCAATCTGGAGCATAAATCAATTCCATCTAATGATCATCACTCGGTAAATCGCTAAGGGGGCTCTTCCAGCGGGGGTTCAGTCTTTCAAACGATGTCCTACCTATGTACACTTGTTGTCTTTCTCAAGACGCTTCGCGAGCGGCGTGGCGTCCCGGAAATTGTAGTGAGCATCGTTGAATACAAATCAATGGTAGATGAAGGATATAGTATTCGTGAAGCGTCTACTTCGAACAAATTCGTCGCTGTAGTTCGCTCAGTAGTCCACCGATCTCCGTTAGCACAGACCTATTCGAGGCGGGTCGGCAGATGAAAGTCCGCATACTCGTCTAGATAGCGTCCACAGCCGAAATCCTGAATTATGTCGCGCCTGTGGGATCTTCGGTGTCTTCTAGGATCTCGCAGTAGAGGATATGTTCGCCTGGCGTAGCATTCTCGATTATAACATGCGTGCTGCATTAGGATAATGGGTGAATAAGAACATGAGTATAGTTTTTACGGAAGATAACGTGACTTTCCGAGGAACGACCGAGCAATCAGTTGTCGCGACAAGGGAAGATAATTCGAGGATTAACTCACACATTCGTATATTTCCAATATCCATCCAACCTCTATCCTTTCTCTCTATCATCGTCCAACCAACACCACGCACTCCCCATTCCCCAACTTCCCAGGATTCTGTTGATGATTCCACATCACGAATGCATCAGGCCCTCCAGTCGAATACGGCGGCGGCAATATTTCCAATAGGTGTGCTCAAGTCGAAAACGCCGCCATACCAACGAGGGTTTGGGTTGTACAGCAGAAAAGTGTTGCGGGCTCGAGAGAGGTAGTACGATCGTATATACCAAAAAGGCGTTGACGAGGGATGTATTCGGATACGTCTTGGCCTTCGTTGGGATTAGGAAGGCTTGAAGTAGTTCGACAACGCGATCGTCGTCGGATGGATTCCAATCCCAGCCTCCGAAAACATTTGAGTCCCCGCTCAATGTTCCGACTAATTGATCTTCACGCCAGCCCTCACATGCAACGCGGGAAGTGAAAGATGAGAGGAAATCAGCCAGTATCCGGTGGCCGTTTTTACCAACATGGCGAAGATCAAGACCATCATATATATCATGGCCGAAACAGTAGTGCTCGAGGGAATCGTCGGAGTGATTCAGTTGAGTGGAACGTAAGATGTGTGGAAGGAGAGTGTTGCGGATGCTGGAAACCAATGATGAGCTCTGAAAGGAACACATTCGTATCACATACCTGATGATAGGAGTATCGTAGTATTCCGCTACAGCAGTGTGGAGGTCGCCACCCATTGTGATTGTGTGGAACATAAGAGCCATAACCTACGTGCGGATTTGAGAAAAAAAAAAGCATACCTGGACGCTTATAACCCATCGCCAAATACTCTAACCGCTGATCATTGATAGCGAGCTCGATGATAACCAGATCTACATCTTCCGGAATATGTTCTCGAAAACACGTCTCCATATACTGAGTGTTCGTCCCCGAAACCGAACCATTAATCAGCTCAACCTCAACATCCGTAGCATTCGCGGAAGTCGCTTTGGCGAATGTCTTCCGGATGTAATCTGCGTATAGAGAAGACCAATTTTCGTGTCGATTTTGAAGCCCGTGGCCTTTGGATACGGAACCACCAACGATGGCAATCTTGATCTTCTGCCCAGAACGTAGTTTCCGCAAAACGCGTTTAGGACGAGCATTAGATCCTTCGTAGGCGCGTGAACGAGCGAGATTGAAAGAGCTAGGAGGAACGAGATTATAAGTGATTCGTTTTCTGGTTAAGGGCCACTCACCCGTAGCGTTTACAAAATTCGTCAGTAGACGTGCAATAATTACAATACGCAGGCTCCGGCTGGAAAGGCTTCGGCGTCGGAGTCACAGTGACAGTCAGCGTCGTAGTCGTTGGCGTCAACTGCCCATCCTGTGCTTCAGCATCCTGTTTAATCAAACTGGAAGGAGCACGGCAGTATGCCAGTGTTTTTCCAAACGAAAAAGTCAAATTTCCTTCGGCATCCGTGTAGAGGAGGATTGAGAAAAGACCAACGCCGACGATGATGAAGTAGTGGATCGGGCGGGTGGAAGGAATTCGACCCATTAGAAATATCCACTGAATGTCGAGACGAACCAATTGTCTGAAATTCCGTGCATGAGACAGAACCACTGATTAACCGGGTACCACATCATGGACGTTGTTGTACAATTATGGGAGTCGTTTGAGATATGTCCTTTCTTCCTTTCCCCCATCGGCAATGGGCATTCATGGTTTGCAAATTTCTCCATGGAAGAGGCAAAATGGGTATATCAGTTTCTAACTGTTTTGACCGCTTCATGGAACTTGCTATGAGTGAGGAGTTCCAAAGTTTTGCAACAAGACCGTATGAGTCTGTTCTTGCTGAACTTTTGGATCACAAGGATGAAAATGCTATGATGGCTTATAGAAAATGGTCATGACTGTCTACCATTTGAACCACTGTTT